TTTTCTCTCCATCTGGATTGTTTGTCTTTGATTCACAGCTGCGTGTGGCATATTAAAAAAGCACTTTTTTGTTTTTCTAAACTTAACTTGAAAAAGGTCCCAATACATAGGCCTGATATGTATGTACAGATAGAGATATATATGACAGCTAAGCATGAACCCGGTTTTATATTTACAGTATTTCTCTATTATTGGATTTTTATTCTTTTGATTGATACATATCTCGTGAAATTTAGTATAATAGGATTGTGAAATGCTGCAACAATGAAGTGCTTATCACTGTTGGCACTTAACTAATATTCACCTTCTGGAAAAGAAATTCAAAAGTCTTTAGCTGTTTTCACTCATGCACTCCTGAAAATGTTTCAAAAATGTCAGGAGAGCCTGCTCCGGAAATCTTCCTGAGGTGCTTGTTCACACAATTGTTTTCACAGCGTGAAGTTTTCCCTGTCTGATGGGGGAAGGAGGGGTCTGAGGAGGCAAGGCATGACAGAAAAATTACAATTGGGAAATCCATGATGGCAAGTCAGACACAATAATGACAGTTTTTTTTTGCCTTTATGTCAATGCTTTTCCCAGTCATCAAACTAGTGGAAAAGAACAAACTGGTGAGCTAAAAAAGTGTGAAGCAGCTTCATTGCGTGCACAATGATCACACCGGTCTTGTCATATAAATGCCATAACCCCCTCCTGCTCGCTTGCAGTGACTTTTCCTGAATATTTCCTGCTGTGTTCACACTACTTAAAGCGGAAATCTTGTTATGGTGCTGGTAGGAAAAAGTCCGGGTAAAGTTTGAGTTCACACATGCAGCTCATCTCCAAAATGTCAGATAAATGTTCAGGTGTTTTGTGCATGTTTGAAAACACTATTTCATGAGGCACTAGTGTGATTGTTTCACCAACTTACTGTACATTCAAATGGTGCTAAATATACCTCTGTTTTTAAAGAAGTCACAAAGTGTCTAAAATGTCAACACAATTTTGCCAGTTTTTTTAATGTTAATATTCTAAAATACAAAACTGTTTTAGCCGACGCAAACTCTTCAAACTCTTTCTTCCTTTCTGCTTTATTTTCTGTTTAGTTTTGAAAACCACTTCAACACCACATCACAGTCAGACAATTTACCTGAGACGATTTCAGGGTGCTTAACCCTTGTGAAGAATTTGTTTACAGATCACTTTCTTGCAGGGTCTGAATAAGGAGGTTCAAATCCTGGTTAGTCAGGACTTTTTATTTTTCTTATAACCATGACACAGAAGCTGTTCTTTTTAGAAATCTGTCATTTCATCACAAAATCTTTCACATCAACACTGGTGCTGGAGAAACATTTTGGTCTCTACAGACTTTGACCTTTGGTGCTAACAGATCAAGATGTCAGAGTTCATTGACCTATAACCTTACACTGAGCGGTGCTTGCATGGTGCTTTTAATGGTGATTAAAAACTCTGCACACTGGTGTGTTATGTGGTTTAAAGTTCTATTGTTTCTCTGGATGGTAACTGGCTGGTAACAGGCTGAGAGGTGTTTGTTTCCCACCATCTATCGTGATGTTTAAGTGCAGGTCAAAAGCAAATGATTGCAGATTTCCATCACAAATAATTCAAAAGTCTTCCACGTGTAACCACATGCTCCAACTATTCTGAAACACACACAAAATATAATGAATGTAAACCTTTTTTAAATAAGCCGATTTAGATAAGAACATTTTTGAACATGGTAGAGTTACATTAGTAAATGTTTCTATTGATTTCATGTGGGCGACGCTCTCAGTCCACTCTGAAAGTCTTTGTATCAATGAGGAACTAACAACGAGCACCAGCATTAAAAAATATGAAAAAAAAACAAAAAACTTTTATGAGTAGAAAAGCTGTAAATACATATGTGAACCATATTGTTTTTACTGTACTGTTAATGGTGTTTAGACAATGGATGACTTTGCTTATTTTGAAACTAAATTACTGTATGTTGCTGAAAGTATATCCAGTTTAGACTTGAGAAGAGACTCAATTTAGCATTCCTTTAATGGATGGCTGATCTCTTTCGGGATTGTGAAATAAAGTCATATTTATATTTTGGACCTTACCACGATTTCCTGTGTCCTCATTTGTTGTGTATTTCCTGTGTGGGTGTGTGTACACATGTAAGAGAAGAAGAACTGTGTTGTTCAGTTCAGGTATGTGTCCGAGCTCTCGTCATAGTTTATATAGAAACATGGCTGAAACCAAGCGTGACACTTTATGGCCTTTATTCAGTTCAAGAAAGCCAAATAGGCTTTCACTTTGTTTTCTCTTAGTTACCCAAACTAACACACTGGATGACTTACTGCTGAGGAATGTGAGTCACTTTGTCCTCCTAATGTGCAGGCATGAATCATAACTTTATTTTGGGAGTTTTGTGTCTACAGCTGATAAGATGATGTCACTGAGGTTGAGATCATCTAACACGGACTCAGTGAGTAACTCAAGTGTTGAGGTATTAAGTTAAATTTGTAGGTTTAAGAGAATCTACAACTCATTATTAAAACCATAACCACTCAACTAAAAATATATTGAGCTCCTGGATAACTGAGAGCCCACACAGACTTAGAGAAAAATGAGTAATTATGCTGAGCTTCACTGGGTGTATCTTAGTTGTTCTACTTTATAATCAGCAGAGTTCAGCATGGCTATTTTTAAATGATAATAAATGAAAAATGTTTGCAAATCCACTATATTTACATAGATACATTGCAGACTCTGTTGTTATATTGACTCGATGGAAATCAAAGGGATCATTTCAGTGTTATAGTAACTCAGTCTGTGATGATAAAAGTACAAAGATATTTCATAAAGTTTACTATAATGGTGTAGAAAAGTCAAAGACACAAAATCAACAAAAATATAATAAATCACACTCATTATAATTGGTGTGATTTAAGAATAATAAAAATTACATAGATACTGTCTTGATTTAATGTAGGCCTACATGATTCATGATTCTTTATTTATCTATTTAGCTTAGTTTGTATACAGCTGGCATGCTTGTGAATTTACCCTATTGAGATATATTATAAATAACACATCATAATCTGTCTGTTGATATAATAGCCCATTATATATACACCAATGAATGTAGAGGAAGACAGTAGATAATATTTGACACTGAAATGTAGCGTGTATCAGAAGGAGCAGACATTGGTTTATTTTGTTAATAGTGTGTTTAAAAAGTCTAACAGATCATAATTACATGTCCTGGCTGTCAGTGCTTCATCACATCTTTTAGAAAAATGTTATGTAAGCTGGTGAGGTTTATGTTTCTTATTTGACAAATAATAATCAATCTTCTGTCTCATTTTTTATCTGTAGCACTCTCCATGTAGAAGCAGGGGTGGGCAACTGGCGGCCCGGGGGCCACATGCGGCCCCCGTCAACCCTCAACGTGGCCCTCTGGTCAATTTTTACACATCAATTAATTGGAAACATGAAGAAAACATTACAAAAATGAAATCATGAAAGCCAGAAGTATGTCCATAATAATTACTATAAGAAATTTAAATAGATCTGATTATTATGAACCAACTAACGCACTATTTATTAACATACACGCGTTAAAATTCAGCGATCTACTAGGTCTAAAAACTGCTCAGATAATGTACAAGGCACACAATCTTTTGCTTCCGAACAGTATTCAGAGGTTTTTTGAAACCAGAGAGAGCCGGTATGAACTAAAGGGGATAGGTGAGTATAAAAAAACAAAGGTAAGGACAAACATAAAGAACAGGTGTTAATTTGTGGTTAATTTGTGGAATACTTGTGCCATGGAATAAAGAATGTGTAGTTCACTTTCCAGATTTAAACTTTTGTTTTAAAAAAATGGTGTTTAACAAATATAAAAGGTCGGTTTGATTGTTTTTTGTGAGTGTGACTTCTGTTTCGTTTTTTGTTTGTTTCATTTGTTTTGTTTTGAAAGAAATTATTTTTTTAACCTAGTAGTGTCTTAAATAATAAGATTTGTAATAAGGGTAGGTGTAATAAGCTAAAGCTTCAGCCTAGACCTTTACGGTCAAAAAAAAGTTTTTGTTTTTTATTGTGACCGAAATAAATGATTACTACTACTAATAATACTTGATCACTGGCATATGTTGAGTTAAATTGGAGACAAACTTGACTGTAATCGTTTTTGTATGCTACAATTTGGCCCTCTGGCAGTGAGAATTAAATTATTGTGGCCCCTTGCTGTGACCAAAGTTGCCCATCCCTGATGTAGAGACACATATGGAAGCCCATTTCTGTCACTTAAGAAAAAAAAATGAAAATAATAAAGTCTCATAATTTCGACTTATCTCATTACTATGACTTTATATCTCATTATTTGACTTATCTCATTACTATGACTTTATATCTCATAATTTGACTTATCTCATTACTATGACTTTATATCTCATATTTGACTTATCTCATTACTATGACTTTATATCTCATTATTATGACTTATCTCATTATTATGACTTTATATCTCAGAATTTTGACTTATCTCATTAATTATGACTTTATATCTCATAATTTGACTTATCTCATTATTATGACTTTATATCTCAGAATTTTGACTTTTTATCTCATATTTCTCATTATTATGACTTTATATCTCATAATTTCGACTTTTTATCTCATATTTCTCATTATTATGACTTTATATCTCATAATTTTGACTTTTTATCTCATATTTCTCATTATTATGACTTTATATCTCAGAATTTTGACTTTTTATCTCATATTTCTCATTATTATGACTTTATATCTCATAATTTCGACTTTTTATCTCATCATTATGACTTTTTATCTCATAATTATCTCATTATTATGACTTTATTATTTTCATTTTTATTTTTTTACCTGGCGTGAATGGGCTTCCATAGAAACGGCAATCAAACGTTAAAGAAATAGACTTCTGAACATGTTTCCTCTTCATAAGGAGACCCTCAGCTTTCTTTGATTTCGCGCACCTTAAACTGGACCTGGGCGGCTTCCGTAGTTGTGTGAGTGGTTGGAGTGTGACGCAGAAGCGCTGAACGGGCAGAACATTTCTAGTGTCAAGATGGCGACATCGGAGCCGGTAAGAGAGACAAGAGATACCTTACATTTTGACTATTCTTCATGGGAAATAGTCGCTACACCTTACCTATATCAAAAGACCTTGTTATATAGTCTTGCTCTGTTGAAACGTAGCCCGTCATTTTGACACATTGCCGGGGTTTTCGTGGACAGATGTGCCAGTTCGCGTGGAGCACAGTTAGCATTAGCGTTAGCATGCACAGCAATGTGATGGATGAGGCTGTGCCTGACTTTGTTGGCAGGGAGGGGACTCCCGGGACGTCGTTCATTCAAACTCCAGCCGATGATTTGTTTTATTACACTTCGATGCACCCAACAAAAACATAAGCTGGTCAACTAGCAACACGTCAACATGTTAATTCGATGATAATATTTATTACATCTCTGATAATCTGGACACGTGTGGGTGTAGCTTGTGGCTAGCTTAGCATTTTCTCCTCTAACTAGTGGTAGCGATGGTAATCTTAACCAAACCATAGACAGTGTGTTACCTATTTATTCTTCTTTTGAGCCCTGTGGAAGTTGTTTCTCTGAGCTGTTGAGTATAATGAGTTTAAAATGTTAAACTTCAAGACCTGAACACTAACAGTTATTTAAAAAAAAACACCTTTTTATATCAAATGTTTATGAATATGTAGTGTTTGTATTTTTGTAGGGTGTGATAGGATGGTTCCCTGAGGATAAACAATGACTGTTTGAATGCCATTTGAGGTTTAAAGTCTTGATAATAGTTTATTTTAATTATGTCAATAAAAGAGTGCATTAATAAAATAAACAAAGTCACCTGAGAAACTGAATCAAATCATTTCGACAGAGAACTGTAAACACAATCCCATGTGTATCTTACTGTAATGTAGTTGATAAAATGTAAATTTCTTTTGTCACAGTGTTGCACACAACTGCTGCAAGCTGTGTTTTAATGATGCAAATCAAAGCGCATGCACACAGGGATTAGACATGCATATTTAAATTGAATGAGCTTTGTGTTTACTTATTGTATAACAATGAGTAAGGTCTTTTTACCTGCTCTTTTGTAATGTTAACAGACAAAGAGTAAGGTCTTTTACCTGCTTTTTGTAAAGTGTCTCGAGAGAACACTTGCTATGAGTTGACGCTAAACAAATAAAAATTGATTGATTGATTGTATGTAGATGTAATGTGTGCGTTTGTGTCCCCTCCCTCCTCTCCAGAAAGCACCTGAAACTGAGGATCAACCGACTGACACTCAAGTTGTTGCTGCGAATCCTGAGCAGTATATCAAGCACCCCTTGCAAAACAGGTGAGAATAAAACAGCTGCTGTTTCACAGGATGTCTCCACTGAAAGGTGCTGTCGCTTACAGAGACTGCAGGCTTCTGATATTCGGGGAGATTTACATAACAACCACTCGCAGTGCTGGGTTTGGAACATAAAAATGCATTTTTTTGAATGTCAAAACTTTGCACTCTGCACTTCTACAATTCACTTAGCGGATGCTTTTATTCAAAGCGACGTACATCAGAGAGTAAGTACGACACAAGCAAGGATCTAGAAAAAAGGGAACAATGTCAGTAAGAGCAAACGATCAGCTTTGAGTCTGATTGGACACACAGGTGCTGACAGGAAGTGACCAAAGGCAAAGCACAACATTGAGGGCAGTTCTTGAGAGCTCTAATCAGTATAGAAACCATCTTATAAGTCATCGCTATCAAACAAAAACCATCGTCACAACCATCATCATCATCAATGATATGGAAACCATCATCATTAAGTTAGTAGGTATTCATGAAAGAGCTGGGTCTTTAGCTTTGTTTTAGCACTTTTAATCATTTCTCAACTAAAAGCCCAACTGCTGTAAGAAGGCCCTGATTATTATTATTATTTTTTAAATATTTGGCATAGACGCAAGGTTATATAAAGAAACATGAAAGACATATCGGGACTATGGTCTTTTACTAGAAGAAAAACAAATGATGTAACACAAGATGCAAGAGTGTACCATTGCACACACATCCCAATGTACCTGTACTGCTTTTTACCTGTGCATCTATCTATCTATCTATCTATCTAAAAAAAAAGCTGCAGTATGTGACAGTCAGTGACGGGTCACATTAGGAAGGACCTGGTTCTGGTTGCCAGAATTATGTTTTAGTTTACCTCTGCTTAGTCAGTGAAGCTTTGCCAAGACCCTCGTGTGCCCCTCTAACCTTCAAAGTTCTTTCAATTTAATCTATGGGTATTTTCTATTTGTAAGACAATTGAATAAAACTAATAATGCACTTTGCTGAAAGAAAGAAGGATCTACAACAGCAAAAATTCCATCTGGAAAAGAAGTTGTCTTTAATTTGATGTGGTTGTGAGTTTGTAGGAATGAAACTGAATGGATTCAGAGCAGGTCGTATTTATTTCTTAGTAATTGCGAAGAGAGGAAAAGGAAAAAGTGTCATTGATATAAAGGTATAAATAATGTATTTCATTTTTTCCACTTTATATTAGATGTGTTAGGATTAATATGCAGTCTTTTTTTGTGGCTTTTTATAAAGCTGAATTATTGTCCGCAAATTCAAGAGTTACGTACTATATATTTAATTGTTAACTGATTTATTTCAACTTTGTCCAAAAAAAGAGAAGAGGTCTGATGGGTCTAATTTTGTACTGAATGACTCATTTGATCTTTGGCCTGTCTCATGGAAAGTCTCACTTAAGCTCTCCAATCTTATTCTCCTCACTTAAAGGTTATAAACTTCCTGACTCTTGAACATTGACATGAATATGTTTAAGTCATGCTCCTTGCATAGTTTTAAAAGAGAGTCAGCTGGTTGTGAAAGCCTCCTGATTAGTAGTGACTCTGAGGATTCATTTTTACCCCAAATCGCCTGTAAACTGAGTTAAAATGTTATCAGTTCCTTTTTTGCAAACTGATTTTAGAGCATGATGTTAAACTCACTTTTGTAACATCTGGATGTTATTTGCATTTAGTTGTAGTGTGCTACAGCAACCAAAAACAAAAAAAAGAGACTGCGAAAAAAAACCTCATCACAAATGCCTGAAAATGAGAGGTTGATTTAAAGGCTTTAGTGTTAAACATAAAAGAATTAGCGTCCGGTTCTCCGTGTCGGTGGTGTTAACCGTCGTTCACTATTGTCCTTTAGAAATGTTATCACATTTGTTTGCTAGTGAGGACCCATTCAGGAGCATTGTGCCGTTTAGTAAATGCTGAGCAGTTCACGTAGAAAGTCACTTCTAGACCATTCTGCCTGTTCAGTCCAGCCTCGGAGATCAAGGTCGTGGTGTCTGCTGTCATGCTGGTGTTCATCATCTGGTGTTTTAACATACTGTGGCCGAGTTATTACACGCTGATTGTTCCACTCATCCACTCCTAATGATCCTAATGATGGAGGTTTGACAGCCACACAACGTCCTCTCATGCCTCACAACAGTTTGTTGACTGTGAGGAAGTTGGTGTGTTGTGAAATATTATTCACAAATATAGACTTAATAAGCAGTATATTATGTACATCATCAGCATGTCACCATTTCCATTATTTAGTCCACTCTTTACATGAATTGAACTGTATTAGTTTAAGCTAGGTGTGCCTTTAAAAAAAGTGGTGACTTAAAGTATGTTGTTGCATGTTTTGTCATTGTGGCTTCTCTTAAATGGCCTCAGACAAAGTCGGAGAAATCTGGTGTTAGTCGGAAACGCTTCTCTAACCTCACTTGTGCAAAGAGCTGCAGGTCAGTGAAGTCAAACCAGCAAAGAGGCATGTGGAGTCTTTTGTCTGGACAAGACTTCCAACAGCGTAGATGTGTGGTCTGCAGTGTTAAAGTCAGGAGCGTGGTTATCATCACTCCGTGTTCTGTGAAGGTACATTTGAACAGTACAGTGTGCACATCTCTCTTACCAAGCTGTAGCATAAGTAGGTGTGATGATCAATTCAGAGTTTCAGGTCATGTAACTAGATTTACATACGATACTGAAATCAGAGGAAACCAACATCCGTGGGAAGTGAAGAGAAACATATTCAGTTTGTTTAAAACATGAGGAATAGGTTCACTCTAATAAACTGGTAAACAAATGAATAACACTCGTATACTTCACACTACTTTTACACTTTATTTTATTCTGCAAATACATATTTGTATTACTTTTATTTATTTTTATATATATTTTCATACAATAATCTTCAGGGTTTTTTATACATGGCTATTTCTTTTCTTTTTTTGCAGAGATATTCAATAATCAAAATGCAAAGATGCTCGTGTGTTCGAGAGATGAATCTACAGTAACACAAATAATGTCTGATATGATTAGCACAGATTGGTAGATAATGACGGCCAAAACATATTTTTCTGAACCTTTCAACTTTTTACTTTATTGTCCATGAGGAGAATTTGTTTCGCAGCCAGGTGAGAACAACTATGAGGAGAAAAAAAACAACCACCACATAGAATCCGACAATAGAAACAACAAACACTGTGAGCGGCATTAAATACATGAATACAGGAGTTCATCAGGAACAACAGGAGACTGAGAATGTATGGAGTTTAAATATCCAATAATAATCTTTATTTATTTCTACGTTCAAATACAACAGAGAAGTGATTCTTCCAGATTTTTCCAGACAATGAATGAAATGTCAATGAATCAAGGATTGATCCTTCACATTCCAAAGACTGTTCAGGTTCTTTTATAAATGACAAAAAGCAGAAAACCCTTAAGTTTTAGAAAACTGAACCAGCAAAAGGCACATTAAACATGAAAAATACTTTATTATAAAGGTTAGATCATTTTAAAAAAGCAGACAGGTTTCAACCATCAAGGTCTTTGTTTTCAGCCCTGGTGAAGACCATTCGTTTCTTTCAAATTATAAATCAACTAAAAATTAGTCATTACAGCTCCTACACATTTTATGTTGATGTGACATTGTCTCTTCAATCCCATTTATTCACATTATGTATCAATTATTTCTGCTGTCATACAAAGGATGGATCAGAAAATAAAAATCCTGAGATCAAACAAGATGTGTAATTTAGTAAAACATAGACATAATTCCTCTCCTCTTCAGGCTCTCATAACCTCAGTAACCTAATGTTTCAAACAAAGTGACTGCTGCCAGAGCTTGTCAGTTGATCCTCCTTTAGTCTCTCACTCCTTTGGCCCTTATTTCCAAACATGAGCCCACGTTAGACAACACAGCCTCACCTTTTTTTTTTTGCAAAACAACACCCACGCCTGAGGAAACGAGTTAACTGGATCAGCATTCAGAGACTTCTTGAAGAAGTTCACATTCGATTAGTCGTACAGAATTTCTGTCATAAGAGGATCAGAGCCCTCGATAAATCCATCATTGACTTGACCTGCTGTCTGCAACATTAGTTTACATGCTTCTACTGGACATGTAAACAAACTGTGTCCTCAGCTGGGTTCACCATCAGTGGAGTCGCGCCTGTCTCGACTCTCCGCCGCTGTTGTGTAATGATGTGTGTCAGTGAGCTGCTAGACAGCGGCAGCACAGCTTCTCCCTCTGCCTGAGCTCGGTTCAGTGTAGTAGTAACGTGTGTTTATCGCACATGGGTGGGGTTGATGTGTGGTTACTGTTGTGGAGGGGGGAGGGGGGCACAGGGTTCAGCTGGTGTCCTCTCAGTGCACCCCACCCCTCCTGGGAATAGATGAAAGAATCACAGCTACCGTCAGAAACAAAGGCTGCATTTGTGGTGCTGATGATGGCTGGCTTTCTCTGTGCTGTTGCATTGATCTGCATGCTTTTGTCACTAGCTGTGGTGAAATAGGGTGCATATCTGTGTTATTAGGACTCAGGCGTAGGGCTTGGGAATACCTGTTCTAGTAAAACCTTATCTCTTTTATTTCCCACCACACTTATCATTTTGATCAATCCACATGGGTGAAGCATGACATTAAGGTAGCTTGATAGCATATGTGGTTCTTATGCATTAGATGTAGTATAATCCTTATATCTTATGAGTCTTTGACAATGAGAAAAGTTACTGCCTCTCCAACTGGATCCTTTCTATAATGGGATACAACTGGTGCTAAAGCTTTATATAGCCCTGTTTCCACCAAGTGGTCCAGTTTTGGTTTAGTAGTTGGGTACAGTAAACCCTGATCTTGCTTGCGTTTCCACAGCCAGCCAACCCTTACTTGGAAGGTAAGGTAACGTATGGAGATAGCCGCGTCAGCTACTAAATAATGTGACACAGTAAACGACGGGCAACAATGGAGGACGTCAAGCATTTTGTGTTCATGTGGCTGTTTATCACAAGAAGAAGACGAGCTTTATTTTAGAGAAGGAGGCAAGGAAAGACAGAAATGACTCCCTCAAATCCACGGGATATTTTAACACGGCACATTTGGTGTTTGTTCTTTCGATTAGTGCTCTTAAACGGGAAGTGACGATTCTTTCAACCTATCAACGGACTGCAGTGTGTGACAACTACGCTTTAGGGTCGGATCGGTACGCTTGGCATCCCAACAGAAGGGTAGCAAAAAAAGTAGGACGGTACGGTTGGTTTATGTTGGTATCATTCCCAACTTCTGACAGTGGGAAAAGCCAACAAATGCTTACCATACCAAAACTGAACTGACCACTTAGTGGAAATGAGTCTGGTGTTTTTTCAGGGTTATCTTGTGACGCACTGCCACAAAGTTCCCCTTATCATCTTCATGCTTCTGTTTCAAATGCCAGAATAGATGAATATTGCTGCTGTTCATAGCTGCCACAGACTTCATACAAACAATGTAGCTGTCAATGGTTAACCCGACACTGACAGCCAAGGAGATGGTGTACTTGTATATTTAATTTTAAACTCCTCACTTTGTAGTTTATTTTGGCACTCTCCATGTTTCTGAAGAGAAGTCTTGTGCTACTTTGGACAGTGGCAGAGTTACCAAAGTTCAAATGAAATGCCACGAGTACAGACTTGTACTCATGTTTAATTTTTTGCAGCTATGTTTGCTAAATGTGAGTCTTATTGTATCCTGCTGTACCCAGTTTACTCTTGCTGTTTTCCTTTTTAACTGTTTGAATCTTTTATTTGCACTAAAGACCTTCAACTTTCAAGTGTTGCAAATTAGCATCCGCTTTAAACACTATAATTATAGCATTGGATCGCTCTTTTCAGTTGTCTGTTTATTGTATCTGCCCTACCAAATAAAACATAAAATAAACAAATAAATAAAATGAAACTTAAGTTTAAAAATGTACTTAAACTTTAGAATTAGCTGTGAAATCATTTTCTACCCCAACTGTGGCATCAACACTTCTCTGAAATATTGTTTTTATTTACTGTATAAAAAAACGACAAGCTGAAAACAATGAATTGATTGTGATTTTTTTTTCATGTGTCTGTTCTTATATATTTTGTTTGTTATTAATGTGATTCCAATAGTAAGCTTCTGATAATTGACAGAGACCGAGAACCTCTCTGATACACCTGTGATTAAAAAAAAAAAAACATGAATAATGTTACTTTCATTTTTATGGATTGACTAACATTACACTCTCTGCCAGCACCTCACTGTTGTTGATGATTATTGTAATCCAGACGTTAACCTGAAACCAGGAGGGGGGAGGGGGCGTCTGATTAGTTGACTGGTCTACAAGTTAGTGATACCTGATTCGGCATTTTGGGCAGTTTCATTGGCTGGTATGATTCTGGTATGGGTGTTGAAACAAACCTACACCATTTCTCATTTTCTTACAGTTGTTGTTCGTCTTTTCTTTTCCTCTCTCAGATGGGCCTTGTGGTATTTCAAAAATGACAAGAGCAAAAGCTGGACAGAGAACCTGCGTCTCATTTCCAAGTTTGACACAGTGGAAGACTTCTGGGCGTAAGTGTAATGTCGTTATGATTGTTCACTCTATTGTCATATAAATTAAACATTGGTAAGACTATTTCTGCAGTTTTGATCAGTATTTTTTATCATGCCAGAGTACATTAAACCTAATACTGCAGAGGAGGAGAAGATCACGTGTCATGAAGCTTCATTAAAATGAAAGAGATGCACTTTCTTTTTCCTTTGTTGTCTGCGGCTCAGTCATAGTTTGTGACTCTGCAGTGAGATGAGTCGTCCTCTTTTTAAAAGCTCTGAAGCTGATTCAGTAAAATAAATCCGGTTTAGATATAAAAATATATTTTATAATTTTCTTCTCCACAGGGTTATGCAAACAACTTAAATAGAAAAGTGACGGGCACCTTTTCAGAAGCCCCAAAGGACGTACAGATGTGTTACGTGTTAGGTAGCACTCAGTGTCAAATTGATGAAGAATTTATTACTGAATGTACATTTGATCTAAACAGGTATCACTATTCTGTGTAATTTACAGATTATACAACCACATACAGCAACCTAGCAAACTCGGCTTTGGCTGTGATTATTGTTTATTTAAGGTGAGTTCTTTTTTTTAAATGACAGCATGTCCGTTCAGACTTATTTGAGCAGCAGACTTAAAAGTCAAATTAGCGCCATGCTTTGCTAACAGATAATTCATTCGTGTGGTAGGATGGGATCAAGCCAATGTGGGAGGACGACAGGAACAAGCTGGGGGGTCGATGGCTGATGACCCTCAACAAACAACAGAGACACAATGACCTCGACCGCTACTGGATGGAGACTGTAAGGCCACTGATGGCAAATGACAGATCAAAAATGAAATGTTCCTCGTGTTTGTGATTCATTGTTAAATGAAACTGATTCATTTAGATCATGACACTTGGGTTGTTTTGCAGCTCTTGTGTTTAGTTGGCGAGTCGTTTGATGAGGCAAGTGAAGATGTGTGTGGAGCTGTGGTCAATGTCAGACCTAAAGGTGACAAAATATCCATCTGGACGAGCAACTGCCAAAACCGGGACGCCATCATGACGATAGGGTGAGTTAAAAATAACACGTTCAATGATAAATAATGTAAGCTATGGGAAGATGCAGCATAGTGCTGTTAGAGATTCATAAAAAAAAGCCAACACTTGAAGACTCCGTAAGGAAGGTTTGGTTTGTGTTGATTTTGGCTCCTTTGGACAAAGCAGGACCTCGTATTACTTTTCTGATTCTGTGTAACAAGTGATTTTGAAACAGAAAATGTCGTGCTGCTTTCTTTAACAGTCAGATGTATCATTCATCAAGAAACTTTGCAGTGAAAAATGTCAAATAAGGATGTTCCTGTCACATGATCTGAATCACTTTGTCTGACTAACAAATGGTGGGGGTTTCAGGTATTACAAATATCAGAATAGAAGTAGTAGATTTTCTAATGGTCCTGTTTGCTTTTCTAGCACATAAAGAGACAACACTGCTCATAACTATTTAACAGGAGCTTCAAACCTGTAGGACTTTTCCAAGTGGCTTAAGTATGTTTGTCTTGCGTGGTCCGGTTCAAAGCGATGAACAGATAAACTTCCATATAGCTCTTCAGGGTGGCGTCTCTAAACAGGGTCCATGCTGACTGTTCTCTTCTTTATTGGGGTTTTCACACATTCACAAAACTGAAACAAAAAAAAAATGTCTTGAATTCTATGGGTGAGCTGCTTGTGGTAACACAAACTCGGGCATTTTTCACCTGATTCTTTTCTGCCAGACTCTTAAAATTTCTGCATGAAGTTGGGATGAGCTGACGAGCAATGAAAAGGCATTGCAGACAAGCAGTTGTTGATAAAGAGATTTATATCACGCGATTAGTGAAGTGTGGATCGTGGTGTGTGTTATAAAGCAGCTCCTCTTTTTTTTTAGCACAGGTAAATTGCTGTGAGGGACATATTTAGAAAACTTCAGGGAGAAGGCTGTCCAGAAATGTTTCAGAAATGTTCCAGGCTTCATGTGTGAAAACAGTTTATGTAAATTCAATTGCTATTGAAAAGTATCTCTTCTAAACCCCACTTCAAAACTAATCAACTATCCCTTCAAGGTTTGCTTACTGTGACTGACCACTAGATGGAGGCACTAAGCTGTAATTCACTTTTTTTCTCTTTCCACAGGCAACTCTATAAAGAGCGTCTGACCGTCCCCATTAAAGCCTTGATCGGTTACCAGTCACATGACGACACATCCAGCAAGAGCGGATCCACCACCAAGAACATGTACTCAGTTTGAAACCCTCCCCCATATTCCCCTATTTCAACTCGCTGTAGATTTAAACAATTACCAAACCGCATCATCACAATAATAATTTCCGAGTTGTCGACTACTATAGAGTCTTTTCCTTTTATTAAAAAGAGAATTGTTCACTGTGTGTACAGTCGGAGCTTCCCCAAACAAGAGAGTGGGGTGGTAGTTAAATATAATGAGGTCTTAAAGGAGAAGATATGGGGAACACAATTGATTTGCTTTTAGAGTTGAAGAGTTCTGTGATAGATACTAATGACCTCCCTGTGCATAGCTGAGAACAAGCTTTTTTTTTTTTTTTTTTCAACTACTTTAATGGCTTGGAGTTTCAAAACATTTCTTATCTTACTTCTTCTTGTGTTCTTCTCATATTGAGTTCTCACTCCATACAAAAAGTGTTTCTCACCTCACGGGAAAAGACAGTACGCAACTTATTCTCTCACTGAACAAATTTTAAGGTCAATTTTTTAACTTGAGTTATCCAGAAGTGTTACGCATGAAGAATCTCCAGTATCTTAAAGGTGTGTAAAAGGCCTGGTCACACTCCAACGTGTAGGGTTTGGATTTAAGGCCACTTGTTGTTTCAGCCACGCTGGAATTGTGGAATATTGCTTGTAGTACTTTTTGAACTTTTTTTCCTCCCTTTACATTTATTTATAATGTATGCATTGCAGTTGAACTACTTAGTTAAAGGAAACCATGAAACTTGTTTTTTTGTTATTTTCAATTTGATTTTTATTTCTTTTCTCTTTTTTGTTATTAAAGTCAATAATGTGGACTACTGCATAGAGGTTACATTTTTTTACAGTGTACTATACAGTAAAGATTCTGACAGAATTAGGTGTGCTTTTCACTGTTTTCTTCCTAACAAACTGTAGATAATGTCACACTCCTATCTTGGTTGGTGCAAAGGAAAGACGATATTCATTGTGAAATGATTTTGCTCATAATGTATCTTTATTATCTGTAATTCCAGGATGTATATTACCTTCTTTCAAGTAAAGGTTAAGTGCTTTGCATTAAAACCGGAACCATGATGTCTCGTTTTCAGAAACTGTATGCGTTTTAAAAATGTATCATAACCTGTTGTCAACAAGAACATTATCACCACCAGGGGGCGACAGAAACAAGATTTAAACACTTCTATCAATGGAAAAATTATGTGAACTTATTAATTATGTCTGTGAACACACCCAACAGTTATGGAGCGACATTGAAGGCAGGAAGTCTCTGAAACATCTTTACAAAAACACTGTTACGCATCGTATTTGATACTCTGACAATCAAATGATAATTCAACTGCTGATTTAAAGAACTGACAACTTCTTGTACATCATACCCTCTAAATAGCATATGTATGAATGTCTTCATATATACAATATTTTTTAACAAATAAGTTAATTTTAGAATTTGTTGACAAGCACCCTTGGATTTTATTTCAAAGTTAGGGTACTCAAAAGGGTTATTTCAAAACTCGGCTGTACTCAGAGAGCCGTCATTTCATGATGTCTGGCTATCCTCAGTCATTGCCTCAGCTTTAGTTACTCAACAGTCTGTTATGTACTGTGTCAATATTATTAAGGATCTAATTGAGATTAATCATCAACCACAACACTTGTTTTGGGATATATATTTTAATTTTATTAAAAACAGTAAGCAAAGATAAAATAGAATAAATATGTAAAAAAAACCAAATACTATTGTGATAATTTTCATAATCATAACCTGGATCCGTGCATATCCATAAAACTGTAAAGCTCTAATCCAACATCCTTATTGCAATCAGATAATTGTTTATATTTCTATAAAACTATGACAAAAAACATTCAGTCTGTTCACATTAACTGAACCAGGTATGTGACATCACCTATTTCAAGTAAGCCACGCCCACTCAAAGACAAAATAAGGATTAGACTACAAATACTGAGATCTACCAATTTAAATCTATAAGCCATTCAATGAAGTATAAATTATATTATTATCCGGGCGGGAATACATTCAGCAAACATCCCTCTGCTTTGTTGTAAAACATGATCTGGGATACCTGTAAACACCTGTAACCAGCCCACACCTAGGAATGTTGACACAGACTACACCCACTGCTCTGTGCGTGATCAAGCCAACTCTTCAGGATTTGTCACTTTTTTTCTTAACGTCCTTGTATTCAGTACACAGTGTGAGTAACTTGTCAAAAGTGACTCGTGTGAATGCCACTCAGTGTGAATCATCCAGTCTAACTGGCTCTCGTTTCGTCACAGGGCCTTAGACTATGTGAATGGGTGTACTGCGACGTTCTCCACCCTTGTACCTAAGCCTAATGAAAAAATGTCGCCCATGGGGGAGATCAATAAAGTTTATCTTTATCGTATCTTTACACTATCCTATATGTGCATACAGAGAATAACCAGACTTATATATGTTATTTTTATGAAGCGCTAAAGACTTACAGATCCACATTGTTAGGCTAACAAAGAGGAAGTTTACACAGCTTGTTGCTTTTGTACAACAACAAAAAATGTGTTAATGTGAACAAACCAAAAAAAAAACCATTTTATTAAAATATACACTGATCAGCCATAACATTATGACCAGCTGCCTAATGTTGTGTAGGTGTCCCTCTCGTCAGGTCAGGGCTGCTTTGATTCTGACTCCACTATTCCTCTGAGGGTGTGCTGATGTATCTAAGACGTTAGCAACAGATCCTGTTAGTCCTGTAAGTTGCGATCTGGGGCCTCATCCCTTGCTCAGTGGTGCACTTCAAATGCTCACAGGCTCATTCTTGGCATTTTGGGCGCTTGACGAGGGTCAGCCTGTGCACCATGACAGGTCTGCGACTAAGCAGCCGGATACAAAACACTGTGTGTTCTGACACCATTGTTTCAGAACAAGCATTCAAATAGCTCTGCAGTTGGATAGGACCACACAGGCCAGCCTACACACCCTTTCGCAAGTTCACTGGTTTCCCTTCCTTGAACCATTTATGGTGCATTGTCAAGGTCGCTCACATTCCTACTCATGCCTATTCATCCCGCTTCACACACGTCAACTTTGAGGACAAAATGTTCACTTGCTGTCATTTGTAAAGAGATGTTTCATGTTATTTGTTTTACCTTGTCAGTTGTCAAAATGGTCACGGCTGATCAGTGTTAAATTAAGTACACAAAAGTATGATACCTTTAGGTTGTTCTGTTGGCACAGCAGCAATGTGTCCTGAGCAAAAGTAAAGTACATTCCTTTGTGTTTTGTTCGTATGCTTTAAGTTATTTTTTTTATACATATAAATACAATTTTTTTAACCACTTCTCACCACAGGTGTCATTCAACATCTGGTTCATGGTAGTTCAAAATGTTACTGTCCAGCCACAGTTTCTAAGGATGTCTTACTCAGTCCATTCTCAGCGCCCACGCTCCTCAGCTGGACCCTGGCAGCCTCATATCACGACAGAGTCATCATCAAAGGCTTTTCTTCCTCCCGTTCGGACAGCAGATTTGTAATCATGTAGGACGAGAAGAAGCAAAACTCCACGGCGTAGCTGAGCTCAAAAAGCTCAAGGTTTACACTGAGCATCCACTCGAATACAGCCGCCAAGTGGACGTACAAGTACTGATCCTGGGTGAACAAAACAGTATCTGAAGGGTTTTGAGTTAAGGATGCATCGAACAGACCTTTATATGTTAACCACAGATCAAACATGCTGGAAGAGGACAGTTTATTGTCCTGCATGTGATACATTACTCACATATTTGTTTGCTACTTTATTTAATTTTTCCCAAGCTATATTTCACATTTTAAAGGGCCTAAATGTTTGCTGTGCACACATGTTGTACACGAGTGAGCACAGAAACGAATACATTTTGACTCGAGCAACAATTCAAGCTCCCCTGAGGATCTTTAGGTTGGGTTTGGACCCCAACAAAGCCGCACCTCTCTTTGCTGATTTTGCCCATGCAGTACATTTGTAAGTATTGCTTTTTAACAAATGTATCACTCATCGATAATCTTTGCTGCGGAAAATGCCAAAGAAAAGGTCATTCCTTCAGTATGTTTTTTAGCCCTTTACCTGACACCTACGCTGCAGAAGCAGTTTCAGGCTTGAATAATAACAGTACGGAAATAGGAAATCTTCCTGATGGTCCTGTTGTCTTTTTAGGTCACAAAGAGGCATTCATATTAATATAAGTCTGATTCATGACCAGAAAAAAAAAACTCTTCACAGGAGCTTCAAGTGCCTGGACCTTTGTTAAAAATGTTTAATCCAGATAAAAATGATCTGGATTTGGTAATCTGGTAATCCAACGATCACTTTATCAAGATCGTCTTTATCCTGGATTTTCAAAGAAAAAACTGGATTGATACAGACTTTTAAGTGTTACCAAATTTGGACCAGCGCTTTAAATGGGGACTTCACACTACATACTGTTTATAGTCCACAAGGTCAATATGTTAAAGTTCCTTTGACCTTAAAATCAAACCATAAACGGCTCCATCGGAGGACTTTTGATTTGTCACATTGAAGCTTCAAGGTATAAGAGTGTTACATTTCTACCATGGTGTTACAGGAAATCACTGGTTAAAGATTGATGTAGTTAAACATACTACTAGTTTGTTCTACATGACTGTCATTCAGCCTTTCCCACTTTGTAAACAGAGCAGCAGACTGGATCCATATGGCACAGAGGAACTTTAGTGTTGTAGAGCAGCTGGAGAAGGTAACAGGCGTCACTACTGGAGTCATTTGAGCAAATGTCCTGTTTCCAGTCATACCAACAACAAATTACTAGCATTATCCATCCATCCATCCGTCTTGCACAAATGCCCTCAAATAGAAGAGCTTTGAACTCTTAAGCCGACAAACAGCCGTTTTCAGCCCCAAAATGTACAAAAGGATACAGCAGATGGTGACGATAGCTTGGACTACAGTAGAGAAGGTGCGCAGCGGGTGGAGAATCTTCTCATAGCCAGTCAGGACACACTTCCTGGTCAGAGAGGTGAGCAGGACGGTGTAGAAGCAGATGCACATGAAGCTGACGGCAGCACCAAAGTAGTGCAGGAGAGCCAGGTAACCCGGCTGTGGAGGAGAGGCAGATAAGTTTTCATTGTCATGTTTTGAAAGCTGGAATCACGGCAGAGCTTGAATAAACAATGTGTTGGTGTTTTAAGTGAATGTTTAATCAGTGAAATATAAAGACAAAGTAAAAACAACCTCCACGTCCATGCAGCCAGAAAAACAAATAGGTTATTGTAAGGTAACAAATAGCAGTTTTAATTAGAGAAAGATTAATTATGCTTTTCTAAGAAATATCCCAATTTAATCTAAATCTTACAAATGGTAGTGTGAAGAGAAGAACAATCACAAGTTGTATTTCACTCTGGTTTTATGGTTCTGTGTGACTACATAGCAACAAAATATTGACCTTAAGTTTATGATGCAGGAGAAACAGTGGTGCAATTGTTTTGTTTGGGCAGCTTAAAACAGGAAAAGATTACAATGCTGATGTTGACATTGTGTCTTTAGCACACATTAAGTTGTGAAGAAATTCATTCCTACATTTAGTTTTAAACCTCATGACATCTGGGAAAGTGCTGCACAAACTCTGCATGTGCTCCAAATCATTACAGGAGACATAAAACAAATAGTTCACCAGCTTTGTTCGCTGTTTCCGCCCAGGAAGGCAAATCAAGGCTGTTCAGCTTCGTTGCTGTTTAACTAGTGAAGTCAGGTCATGGTTTGGATATAAGGCCGGTTGTGATTCAGATGCGTCAGATTAAAACGGCACGTTACTTTTTTTTTTTCACACATTCAGCAGGAGGAGTAATTAATACTCACGTTGCAGTTTCCAGCTGCAAATGCCCCCATGGATGCCACCACACCGAACACCAGCGCGATCCTGCTCTGCATGACATGACACGCATGTTTCTCCATAACGTGTGCATGATGGAACATACAGAACAGCAGGACTGAAAGGAGAGCACAGTTGGTATTGCAAATAAGAATCAAATCATGTGGCTTCATAATGTGTCTGGTACTTAGCAGATAAACTCACACATGAAGGCTCCAGCGTTGATCGTGGCTGTAAAGAGGGAATTTTCTGGTGCATTTATTCCACTTGAGCTGGAATTGAACATTAAAAATGATTATTTTTCCGCTATTTGATTGTAATGGAAAGTATAAGCAGAAGGTAAATGAGCAAGTAGGCCTGTAGCTCACCTTATAGTTGGAACAAAACAGCATCCAGTGGTCTGATTCCCTTTGCAATAGTTGTCATCCCCCCTGAAAAGACAATACATGAGGTTCTGGAAAATCTGCAGCATCATCATTCTTATGTTCATCTGTAAAGTAGAGACCAAACTCACCAGTCACTGAGAGAGCACACGTGATAGTTTGCGAGAGCAATGCCATATCTGAAATGATAAAACAAAAGACAAACTAAAACATCACCATTTAATGTTGGGGCTGTATTGGAAAGGCATCATTGAAATGCAGTACTAGTTCATCTAAAAGGCATCATTTCCCCCTGTTCAAACAAAGTGGTCAGCCTTATTGTAAATTTGATTGTTTTAGGTTATTTAAAATGTGTATATTAGTAGGTTTAGTATTTATTATATTTTCTATCTTTACTTCTACTAGGCATCTACAGGTTTGCTCCAACAGTATTTCATTGTACTTGTACAGAGACAATAACGATATAAATATATCTTATATTAGTTACAGTATCATTTCGATGACAGGAACAACGAAGAAGGATTTCAGGGATGAATTCATACATCTCTTTGTTAACTCTAAAGCGTTAAGCCGAAACAAAAAACATTTGTAGAAATTAAAACACTACACCTAATTCATTTTATTCTCATGCTGATTCATTGGTTAACCAGCACACATATATCTAACATTGCAAAGACAATATTTAAGATGTCATTAACAACACTTTCTTGATTACTTTGCTGGGATAGTAACATGTAAATGAAATATACTGAAGCGGAAGAAGAATGTCTGCTAAGCTCTAACTGTTTTGTTTTTTTCATGCAGATTAATTGTTTTCTAGACATTGTTTTTACAGAACCTCTGGTTGACAAACCAGACAATGTATTGTAAAAAGTGAAGGTGCACAATTTAAACAAAGGAAGTGCATGTAAGTTGTGTAAAATAACTCAAATCAAAATCCTGAGTGAAAAAAGTAAAAAAAAAAAAGGGTCCCATTCATGAAAGGACAAAGAAAAGTGCTGCAATTGAATTATTTTCATATCATTGAAAAAAAAGCTCCAGCAATTTAGTGTATTGTTTATCCATTACCATCTGAAAAGAGATAAGTCACTACGAGATCAAAGATAAATACGTCATAGAAGTGGATGACAAAAGAGACTGAAGAAACGTCATTGCTCTGGCTTTTAAAAATACTGTAGAGCGTAACGGTTGTCAAAAAAGATACGATGGAACAAGTTCTGGAACAATTTTGTCTGCTGACACAACAGGACGCACTGTACCTTACGTCAGACCGAATTAGTCAGAATGCATATTTAAATTTCTTTCTCATTACGCATACCTGTACGGAGCACTAAGTGTCATGATTTGGTTTCTTATTTTCAGAGTTTAGATTTTCTTGTTGTTTTTAGTTCACACACAGAACTCAAGAATGAAACAAAACACACTAGAACATAATGAAACACTAGGACACAAAGTTACAAAATAACACATGAAACACTAAAGACTAACCTAGAAAACACACAAGGGAAACAACACCATCAGGGAAGAATGAGAACTTAAAACAACAAGAAAATATAAACTCTGAAAATAAGAAAACCAAATCGTGACACTAAGTGCTTTGAAATTCGAATGCTGTGTTTTCACAGAAAAGGGAAACAGCTTGCTGAAAAAGATTTATAAATAATGTGAATTCATTTCATCACTTCCTATTCAAGGCAGAGTCTCATCAGTATGACTTCAATCTCGCTGTCAGAACATACACAGCTCAAATGTCAATCTTAAAGGTGCACTATGGAGCTTTGGTAGAGGAATGTGAAAGTTGGAGAAATGTACTTGTGCTATATGTTCATAACTCTATACACAAACTGTCCTCAGTGGAAAATGTAGTCCCTGAAACACTGTTTGAAGATAAAATGCTGCGTGAGAAGTTCTAGTGGTGAGCCCGCAACAGTGACACCATAACTCTCCTGGTAGCTTTTTAGATTAAAACTGTGTTCCTGGGACCCATTTTTTTTCTTTGAGTAAAATTTGTGTATTTAGTTCACAAAATAAAGCATAAAATTGTTTTCAACTTTCAATTTTCACTACCAAATCTACATAGTGCACCTTTAATAATCGTGAAGAAGTTGTGATGTGTTTTGGCACCTGGCAGCTTCAGGATTCAGTCTTTTAAGTTGAGATGTATATTATCAGCTCCTTTAGAAAGTTCACCTAAAGTCTAAAACTGTCTTCACTCTGCATTTGCATGTCAGCACACAGACAGACGAAGAATAAAAGGTTGTAAAACCAAATGTTCTGATCATGTCAGCAGCATGTAGAGATAAAGTGTGATACTGTTGCAAACTTACACACTCCATGTTCCAATGCAGGACACCAGAGAGAGGAGGATGGGGAAGATAATCCAGAGAACCATGTCTTGATGGTGAGAAAAATGAGTGAAAAATATCAACGATATAACAGAAATTCTTTAAGTCGAGGTGTTTTTAAAAAAAAAGTCAGCAGTAGATCTCTTCAGGGCATCAGAGATTCCTTAAAAAGTCAGCATCATACCTGCATAGCAAGATTTGTACTGGGAAAAATAAGAATAAAGTCCTAATCAGACAGCTGCTCTGTCGTATAGTCAAGTGTAGACCTCGTCCATCCAGAGGACAGACCTGCTTTATGGGAGAGTCTGTTTCTCTGCCACTCCTTCAGAGCAACGCCTTACCCTGTAGGAATGACTGTTGAGAACTATGGGGTTGGCCTTCTCAACGCTGTAACATTGTTGGTTTAATACCACAGACTCACCTTTATGCTCCACCTTTGAAGCATCACAGAGGTTGTTAGACAATAGGTGACGATACATATGACTGACAAAGTCCTGCAGCATCTGTGTGTATTTATTTCATTTTGACTTTGAGAGTCCTTCCTAAAAAATACTAGACTGGGGAAAAAACACTTAGTTATTCGCTTGTTAGTATTGTTAAACGAGTAAGTACAGTTTTATGCCACTTAGATTTCATTGAGTAGGTCTATTTCTTTTCGTGCAACTAAATATTTATACTTTTAAGAGAAAATGATTTGTGCTACTTTACTTCTTTTAAACAAAGCTGTTTAAAAGCTGATTTTTACAGTCACTTCAGAGCATTTATTGTCATTTCCACATCCACTTAAAACATGAATAACTCAATAAATACAAGAAATGTTGTTACCCTGCAGTGTAAGACTACACATGTATAAAATATGATGCAGTCGGCCTAGAAAGGGTAAAAGCAAAAATGAAATCATCATACTGTTGTAGTGCTACTTTAAGTTTTAGTTTTTAAAGGCTTGTGTATAATATATTAGGATACAAGAAAGAGTTGTTATATGTGTTAGCCCCAGTTTATGACACCACAACTACTAGACAATAATAAAAAAAAATACAACTTGTATTACTGATAAAAAAAAAAAAAAAGTTTTACTATCTCATTGTGTATATTTATCCTTAAGAAAAGTACGTAGGTAAATATTTGTAAATAGAAATGCAACAGAGACAATTAACTTCCTGTTCAGGAGCTCGCGCGGTCTACCACGCGGGGGGGGGGTCCTCATTTTCAAAACAAACAAAATGGCGTCGCACATGAGATGGGGAATTCGCCACTTGTTACGGGCAAGAAACACGGCTCACTTTAGGTTTGAAAAAAACAAAAAAAAAACGCATTCAACAGCGTCTGTGCCGCTTGCTGTGACGCTTCTGTGTCGCTTGTTAAACTTTGATTGTTCAGGCGTGTTATTGAGGTGACGTCATTAGCCACCTAGCAGCTGGCTAGCAGTGAAGCAAACTGCGACACTCACGTAGGATGACGGGTTTTCAATTTAATCCCGTTCGTCTTTAACTTTAACATTTTTGGTGATTACAAAACAACTGTTGTTAAAGTCGAGCCCGCTTATCGTTATCTACCTCGGCTAGAAGTGTAAAGTACTTAAGTTAATAATAGGATGTCAGTGTTAAAGCCTGAGGATAATGTAGTTTCAACTCCTTCTTCTTTTCTTTTTTTTTTTTTTTAAATAAATCTGCAAGTGTTGCTTTCACCTCTTATCAAACTGTGTATTTTTTATTTATTTTAATCTCTTACTGGAAGAGTTTTAAGTCCAAGTGTTAATTGGCAAAAAAAAACGTGTTGTGGTTTCTTTTGTGTGTAAGGTTTCAAGAGAAGACCAGAAGCTCATACCACTCTCAGTGCTCGACCCAGAGCCTCTCAAAACCTCTCCCTCGGCCCGGGGCAGGAACCACGCACTTCTCAAGTGAGACACCGGTGTTTTTTTGGACACATTTATAGTTTTCATCTTTGTCTTAATGATGTCAGGTGAAAAGACGACAAATCACAAACTTTACAAAGATACCTTTCCTCCTCCTCCCTCCCTCCTCCCCTTTAATGCTTTTCAGTAAGACTCCTGTCAATCCAGACTCAGGACACTCCAAACCCAAGAAGCTTGAAGTTTCTTCCTGGAAAAGATGTTCTAGGAAGTGGGACGCTTGACTTTCCCTCTCCAAGCTCTGCCGAGTGTTCATCATTAGCCAGGTGGTGCTTTAGGTTTTCTCTTTACTCTTTCTGGTTATGTGAAGGTTTGGCAGTCCGCTTGTAGAGACAGAAATCTAATATACAGTTTTGGAATAAGGCAGCAGGACTTTTGGGCGGCTGTGGCTCAGTTGGTAGAGTCGTCACCTCTCAACCGGAAGGTCAAGGGTTCGATCTCCAGCTGAGCAACATGCTCCGATGTGTCCTTGGGCGAGACACTTAACCCTGCATTGCTACCTCTGCTGTGGATTAGTGTTGTGCTTACACTCTGATGTACGTCGCTTTGGATAAGAAGCGTCTGTTAAGTGAATTGTAGACAAGAAATGTTTGTTTCAAGACATGTTTTCTTCATTTGTAGAAGCAGTTGTTTAAAGCTCATGTTAGGAACTTTTGTTTGAACTGATATGACGAATTACTTGTTTTCTGATCTTGTCTGAAACAGGTTAGAAAACGTCTCATATATTTGAATTGTCTAACTTAGAAAGAATCTTTGGTATGCATACATTGAAGAAAATGCTGTTTAGGCAGTTTGCTGTTATTTACCCCATCTGACAACTATCCTGAGGTGATGACAGACATAAAAGAAAAACTACACTAGACTGACCTGTTTGCGTTTGTAGATTATATCAATGAAGATACATGAGTCTTAATTTCAGTTTGTTTCATAACCAGCCAAAAAAACACCTCACAGGAACTTAAAGTAACTCAACAAGGCACACTGAAATAACACAAGGTGTTTTACTTTGCAGGTAGACATCATAATCAGAATTTAAGAGAATGGGGAAAATTCTCTGTAACTCATTATTTGTGTCTGCTTGTTAAGACATGTTCTGCAGGGGTCATCATTTTGACACTTGAAATTGAGGGTAGAAGAAGTGTGTTGGTTTCTCCATTCTCCCAATTCTTTCTTATTGGTAATTCTAAAATTTATTTAGCATACGCTTTTATCCAAAGAACCGAACATCAGAGAGTAAGCACAAGACAAGGATCTAGACGGTCACACAGCTGCTGACAGGCACTGCACAGAGACAAAGCACTTTTATTTAAAGTTAATATACCATCATCAGCAACATCGACAGCTGCTCTTTAGAGTTCTTATCAGCATCAAAACCAGCCTAATATCGTCATCGTCTTCATCAATATCATTAAGTGTGTAATTGTTCATGAAAGAGCTAGTTCTTTAGCAAAGGGACTCTCCAGATTGAATGGAGTTTGGTAGTTTGTTCCACAATTGGGGGGTTGACGGAAGAGAAGAGTCTAGCTAGAGACGTCGGGCCCTGTTGTGAAGGTTGGATCAGACGCCTTTCATTGGTGAAAGTGAGTGTAGTGGGCGGGAGGAAATGTAGACCTGTATGTTTAGGAGCCATTTTTATCGCTGTTTTGTAAGTGAGCAACATTGTTTTAAATTTGATTCAAGAAGTAACCCGAAGCCATTAGATGGAGGTGAACAGCGGAGGGAGGTGCACTGTTTTGGGTTGGTAGAGGACCGGTCGTGCTGCAGTATTTCGGATCATCTGCAGAGGTTTGATTGTGCATGTAGGAAAACATGCCCGTAGGAAGTTGCAATAGTCGATGTGTGATATCACTATAAAGTCATCTGGGGGGGAATGACAGGAAGAGCTGGATCGTCAGCATAGCAGTGCAGTTAGAAGCCATAGAGCAGTTTATTTCCTCAAGTGAGGTGGTGTACATGAAGAAGAGAAGGGGACCAAGAACTGACCCTTGATGCCCCCCTGTGGAAAAATTGTGTGCTTCTGACACTTCTCCCTTCCAAGACACTCTAAGGAGGATTTGATGGTTAACTGTGTCAAAGGCAGCAGACAGGTCTAGCAGCAATAGAACTGAGGACTGACCAGCAGCTCTGGCAGCTCGTAGTGATTCTGTAATCAACAGTAGTGCAGTCTCAGTAGAGTGAACCTGCAAAAAGCGTGACTGATTTGGGTCAAACAGATCGTTCTGGGCAGGAACTCAGACACTTGACTAAGGACCGTGTGCTCGAGTATTTTTGACGGAAAGGGCAGAAGTGAAACCGGTGTGTAGTTTTTTTTTAAAGCAGAAGCACAGTCAAGCCCTCACTGTTTCCTGTTGTTGTTATCTTTATTGAGCTGTCATGGTAGCATCATCACTTTCTGACAGTGATAAAGTTACCTGTAAGGAGAGGAAGAAGATATCAGTGCACCTTTTGCAAATAACACAAAGTGATACTCCAGGGTATCTGTGAATTAGAGGAACTGACGGCATGAACTGAATTAACACAATTATGTAGATACCATGATGTGTTTTCTTATTTATTCCATCAATACTTAAACTTAAATGACTTCATTTCAATTAATAAAACTGAAAAAAGCAGTGCATTTATGTGCGACTCCCTTGATAAAACTGGTACAAGTGGATGTGTTTATCGCAAATAATAGAATACCGTGGACACAGACTCCATGCTGCATCCTTCTCATTTAAACGAACAATAACATGATATGATATATTTATTCCAGGGACCTGTTTGAGATCGAAGGAGTGAAAAGTGTGTTCTTTGGTCCTGACTTTATCACAGTCACTAAAGTAAGTATTGAATATACTTTTGCACGTTGTCTCTGTGATACCACTCACCTAAACCATTCCTTTGGGAGACATCACATGAGATCTTTGTTTTTCTTATCAGACAGACGAGGACGTTGAATGGACGGACATTAAGCGCCACGCTCTGGGTGCCATTGCTAAGTTCTTTGAGAGTGGTGATCCGATAACAACGGGGGCAGTGCACAATGAAAGCAGTACGTTTGAAACGGTCCCTTTACTCCTCTTGGAGTGATGCTGCAGACGTGTGGTTTTAACGGATAGTAAACAGCAAGTATAAATGTCATTTCAGTTAATGAGAGCAGAAAGATAAAGGGAGGCAGAAAATACTGGCAACGGTATATGGCATTGCCGTCCAAAGTCTATATAGGTGAACTTATTACCACCTTTTCTAATAGATTTCACGGCCAGGTGTGATGTAGCTCCCTGATACAAAGAGAAAACACGGCAATCTGGACCTCACGGTTGAACCATACAATTTAAAAGCCACAACACTTTATCTGTATCACAAACTCAAACAACAGATAAACCAAATGGAATTCCTCTTTAATATCCACAACTCATTAATAAACTGATTACCTAAAATGTTAAAATGTAAAAGAAAGGATTAATGCACCTATATACACATAATATACATTATCATTAATAAATATACAATATCTCTACACTCAAATATGTAGAGATGTTTTTTCCTGTTCTGTTCAGACAGTGTTGTTTGTCTGCTGTCTCTCCCAATCCATGTTAAAGATTTAGGCATCTGGTTCACTGCATATTTTTGTAAATGTACCCAAACTTTGTCCTTATTGCAGGCCATTCTGAAGATGATGATGATATTGTTTCCATGATTAAGGAGCTTCTGGACACCAGAATCAGGTACAAAACATGCCACCTTAAGAAGAATTGATGGATCGTTTGTTTGTTTGTCTTTTAGCCTACTGTTTGATAGTTAATGTGTGTTTAGGAATAGTTTTAATCTTGATCAGTGTGTCTCTTTTATACTGATTTACAAAGCACGTATAAGAATGAGGCTCCAAATTAAGCGAGAGATAGTTTGTCTGTGCTTTGTGTTGCTGTGTGCCGCTTTGTTCTGTTTTAACTGATGTGGTCCTGTGTATCAAGACCTACAGTGCAGGAGGATGGAGGCGATGTCATCTTTAAGGGGTTTGAGGATGGTACAGTCAAGCTGAAGCTGGTTGGTTCCTGCACAGGGTGTCCCAGCTCTACTGTCACTTTGAAGAACGGTATTCAGAACATGATGCAGTTTTATATTCCAGAAGTGGACAATGTGGAGCAGGTGATTATAAACTGTGGTTTGCTTGTAGGATTTATCATTTTGAATGGACAGTGAATATTACAAGTTATTTTTGTAGACCAAGCTTTACTACTCTCTACTTTGCTGGATGAAAGTTTGGATCATCAAATGCAGGAAATTGTTGTGTGACAGAATTCAGTCTATTCAATTCTGGCCTCTCAAGTCTAACTTTGTTACGTAGAATGGAATAAAATGCTGAGAAAAAAAGGAAAGATTGATTTTGTAATGCATTTAACACCTGATGCTAAAATGATATATATGGACAGATGGTAAAAAAAATATTCTTCAAATATTTTAACATTTAACTCGTTGTTGTTTTCCTAGGTGGAAGACGAAGTGGACGAAATCAACGCAAAGGTTTTCACGGAGCTGGAGCGCAAATTACAAGATTAAAAATGCAGTCATGGATTGCATAAAATGAAAATGATGCTCCACTGTGTAAACAAACACAACCATATATTACCATCACTAGTTCCCTCTCTATCATAAGAAAGAAGAGAGACATTATTATCTGCTTTTTGTGTGCACACCATAAACTGTTAACACTTCCAGCTGTAATTTGTATGTGAATACTGTATTACCATGTCACCAAGAGCGGGTGATACAGGAAATTCCTGGATCCTGAAAAAAAAGTTATTCTTCTTGTCTGTCTAAATTTTCTGCTCTGATGCTTGTAAATGTTTTGATGTATTTATTTCTTATAAATATTGTATATTTTGAAATAATATTTTCATAGAAGATATTGTGAAAGTCTTTGACAGTTGTCATGGTCATGCAGAATGATGATCTGATAGTATTCCAGTTGTTGCTGCCAGAAAATAGAAGATAACCTTTTTTTTTTTTCTTGTGCATCACCTTCAATATAACACAGTGTTTAACCTACACTTTTTCACAAGGCTGAAGTAGGTTAACCATCTCATGTCCTTACGATCTGAATGCTATATGTATCTGCTTTGTGCTCTGCCTGAAATGTACTGTATCAAATCAAAGTTCAAAGTTTGAAAGCAACTCTGTCGTGTGCTCACTAATTTATGACTACACTGCCCTACAAAGGCAAAAGGCAGTAACTTCAATTATTTCATTTTTGGAACATTACAGATGTGCTTTATTGTGTGGACAGATATCTTGAGTCAATTGTGTTGTTGTTTTTTTAGAAAATAGTAGGTTGTATTTTCCTTAACTTCCAAAAGCCCTCGAGAAACCAAGGCAGAGTCCAGTAACATCACTCATCAGGGTCTTTGCCTTTGCATTCCAAAATGCTCAAACTGAGTTAAGGTCTTCTGCCTTTGTTTTGCTGCGGATCAAAGTGAAGTTACTGTTTTACTGCAGAGGATTAATGTGTTATGCCTTTGTTTTAATATCTGTCATCAAGCACTTCTGACACACACAACAGCTTGACTAAAGTGTAGCAAAAAAAGTGTGTGGTTGTGTTATTTTACATGCAACCAAGTGAAATACAGTATCAAATGGAAGTTAATGCCTTTTGCCTTGGCATGACCAGTTATTATTGTACAGGCAACGCAAAGGCAGAGTACCTTAACTTCCAATAATGGCCAAAGATCAAGGCTAAAGATTTTTATGAACATTAATAATCTCAAAGAATTGCCTACATTTCCAATATTCTGCCTGCAACTCATTTGGCTGGACAACAAAAAGACTTTTAAAGTCATTTTTCTCAGTTCTACACTCTGGAGAGTTAAGGTCTTTTGCCTTTGTAGGGCAGTACACACTTTAGTCCTCTGCTGGAATAAAAAGCAAATTAAATGGCATTTCAAACAGTCTTGACACTAAATCATTTATTTTATTTTATACTATGATTTGTGTTCATGCCGTGTGGGTATAGTAGTTTTAACAGAAAAGTAAAAATTACAAAAACTATTAAATCCGGACGACCCCCCCATCAGGCACGAAGCGGTTTCTCTAACCCGCGCATGCGCAGTTGATGTCTAAACAGCAACGGACAACGGTAAGCTGTGTTGACTATGTTTTATTCAGAGACGTAAATGCGTTAGGTTTCATGTCCGTTTGATGCATAATTGAAAAACTCTCATGAAATAAATGCAGGAGAGTTGCTGCCATCAGTGAATATAAGATTTAGCATCTTTAAAACCATTGACCGGTCAGTGCCATCTGTTACAGACATCCGGGCCTCCTGCACGAAGCTAACGCTGTTAGCTTCTCTGCCTTTATTACTGACGCGTAAACATGGCCAGTTTTTTAACACTTTAATAAGTTAAGTTATATTTTAATCATGTCGACAGAGTGACATCGACTTTAAGCTTTTAGCTGGCTGCTGTTAACTGATGAAAAACATTGCTAAACGGACCTCAAATGTTAGCAGGCTGCAGCTAGCCTCTGCTAATGTTAGCGAGTCTGTCAGGCGTTTAACCTGTCGAGTCAGCAGCTCTTTATCCACAGAGCTCTGCACAAAGCAAGGGGAATGCATGAAAACTATTGATTGAAACATGACTATATGCCTGAGTGAGGCTTTTATTATAGTTTACCGATGTAAACAGCATTTAAGATTACATTTATTGTCATGTGAGCCTCTTTAAGATGTCTTTAAGTAAATTATCTAAAGTTTAAAAGCCAAAGTGTAACACATCTTTTCCTCTTGACACCTTGTTTGGCTCTTTTGCAGTTTAAATGCTTCATTGTTTATCTCTCTGCTTGATTACTGTGAAATGTAATGTGTATCTGTAATGTGTGTTATCACTCATACCACAGAGTTTTATCTCTTCTAATCTTTATCTTTCTTTTAGGTTAAAAAAAGTATCACAATTAATCTGCTGGTTTTTTAACAGTCTGTCTTTGTGTGTGTGTGTTTGTTTTCAGTGCCAATCATCAGCCTTGTAAGCAGAGATTTCCCATCACCTGAGAGAGCGATGGCCCAATTTGGGGGACAAAAGAATCCGCCATGGGCAACTCAATTTGCAACCACAGCGGTGTCCCAGCCAGGCCACTCGGGACAGTCTCTTGACCTCAACAGTCTGCACTGTGAGTGTATCAAACAAAAAGTTCTGAGCTTCTTCGTTCCTATTGTATTGGCGGCTCAGTTTCTCAAATATTGAATGTTTAAATATTTTTATTATGTGGAATTATTATTTTCATACACCTTAATTACATTACATCATCTCCCTTATCCTGTTCTGCTCTAAGGTGTGCATTGTACCCTATTTTCTCTCGTTTCTCTTAATCTGTTGCCATAATTTCTTTGTCTGCAGCTCTTGGTGTGCAACAGTCATCTCTCCTGGGAGCCTCTCCCTCAGTGTACTCTCAGCAGTCCGCCTTGGCCGCAGTCTCGCTCAGTAACCAGTCTGCTGCAAACTATCAGCTTTCTCAGCAAACTGCTGCCTTGCAGCAGCAGGCTGCAGCAGCTGCTGCTGCAGCATTACAGCAGGTTAGTCACAGACGGGGAGATTTAAGAATAATAAATCTATTCACCCTTTCGTGGCTACATCAATAACTGTTTAATAAACTTCTATTCCTCATTTTTTTTGTAGTCCCAGATCAATTCTGCCCTCCAGCAGTATCAGCAACAACAGCAGCAGCAGCAACAACAACAACAACAACAACAACAACAACAACAGCAGCAGCAGCAGCAGCAGCAACAGCAGCAACCTCCGCAGCAACCCCCTCAACAGCAACTGTACAATGTACCTCATCAGGTGAAACACTGACTCATTTTACTTTGTGTCTTCATCTTTATAGTCCATTAATAAAAAAAGAACGCTATAGTGATTCATATTTCTAATGAATTGTCCCTCATGTGAATGTTCTGTAAGCTTAATTCAAATACAACGTTCAAGCTACAGTGAGAGTGTTTTCTTAGTGTTATAAGAACCTGTTTCCAGTTGAAGAATAATGACATGACACACAACTGTGGACTGATGAGAAGTGTGATCTGTTGTCAAGTAAATAAATCCTCACTCTTGTTTTGTTTTTTGTTCCTCTCAGCTTCCACAGCCTCAACAGGCATTGCTCTCTCAGGTAATGTGCAAAATCAGCCGCTCACCTCATACTTTTACAGGAATACAAATATAGGGTTGTCACAAATGTGACTTTATTTACATTTCATACAAATGTATTTTTGAAACCTGTGCACATACATTTTTCATGTAAACATGTTCAGAAACCTGAAGAGGTGCTGAGAGGTAACACAACAGACTATCTGTGAAGTTGTCACATTAAAAAAAAAAACTACCCTGATGTAAATACTTCTCGTCTAGTTTATCCCAGAACAACTCTTCATGATGTTGTTTGTCCATTTCTCAAAGTAGAAGAAAAAGAAATGCCTGGAATAGTCATATCTATTTACTGAACTGTACAAACAGAAAAAAACACACATTTTTATTTGTTTCAAAAACATTTACTGATATTCTTTAGTCATGTGAACTATTGTTGTTCACAGCTAAATGTTTTTTCTCTCTTCCAACCCTCAGCCCCCAGTTGCTCTGCCCACCAGCCTTAGTCTGTCCAACCCCCAGCAAACAGCCCAGATTACTGTATCCTATCCAACACCCCGCTCAAGCCACCAACAGCAGACGCAGCCACAGAAGCAGCGAGTTTTCACTGGAGTCGTCAACAAGCTACATGACACATTTGGCTTTGTAGATGAGGATGTCTTCTTTCAGCTAAGGTGACAACAATGGGGCCTTTTGTGGAATAAAGTTGATTTCTCTGTATGCCTTTTTTTGTATATTTTTCTCACTCTGTGCTTAAAATTGTCACTCACTTTTTATTAGGTCAGTGTTACCATGCCATTGTCATTTCCCAGGCAGCCACAACAGACAGTTTCATAGGATGCATGCACTTTTTTTGAAATATGAAACAGATCTTTCTTTGCATATAGCCAATGCTGTCTTTTATCTTTCCAGTGCTGTAAAGGGAAAGACTCCACAAGTGGGTGACAGGGTCCTAGTGGAAGCTGTGTACAACCCCAACATGCCCTTCAAGTGGAACGCCCAGCGCATCCAAACCTTACCTCAGCTAACAAATCAGTCGGTAAGGACACTCAGAGGCTGCACTATGTCATCAAGAAGGATGGAAAACACTATTTTCCAACATATATACAAACTGGGGGGGAGGGGGTTTAGTACACTTCACAGAAACGCTAGTAAAAATAAACGCCTCAAAAATAGTTTCTGGACTTTCCGTCTTTTTAATTCAGTCATTTTTATCAATTAATTTGATCTTGCAAAGTTAAACTCACTTGGAGATGGAGATAATAAGCTATCTGTTTCAAATTTTGGTTTCCCAAAGTTTTATTTTAAATACTGGACTGTTCATAGGACATTGTCTGAGGAGAAGCATCATATGTTTAAGTATTAAGAGTTATTTCTTTCTTCAGATTTGATCTTTTCCTGGGTCTCCCTGTATTTTATTGACTGTTGTGTTCTCATTCCCTTGTAGCATCAGCAGCAGCCTCAGCCTTTACCTCAAGCTTCCCCACAGCTGGGCGGCCTTTATAATGAGCCAGGGATGCAGCTGCGCTACTCAGACATGCACTCCGCTGTGGACAACAGACAAAATGTAACCCCCTAACTCTCTCTCTATGCAGTTTGTTTCTTAGCCTTTTCTTTTGTTTCCAGGCTTTCTTGCTCATCCAATTCAATACATTCATCTATTCTTAACCGCAGGTTCGACTCTTAGTTTGCTGTCTTTGCCGAATGGATAATTAAATTTTTTTTGGAAACAGTGAAACTATTCTATAGTTTAATTTAAAATTCTGAATGTGCCTTTGTTGTGGATCACAACTTTTTTGAGGATAAATGTCTTTTCTTTTTCTTCTTTTTTTACAAATTAATGACGCTTGAGCTGTTTATTTTTTTCAAAAGAGTTTCTGCACTCTTGTTTTCTTAATATATTATTGGTGATTCTTTCAGCAGGGTACATGGATAAAATATAATTTTAGTCATTAATGTTGTCTCGTGCAGGTAGTGCTGGATAAGACAGATCTGGTATTTTTTTCAATTTAAATATAGACATTACAGCTAGCCTAGTCAAAAAATAAGAAGTGCAACCAACACTTTGTTTCTTCATTCTGTATTTTGTAGATTAGGAAACCTAACCTCCAATATATATATTTTCCAGCAGCAACTGACTTGTTGAATTCTTCTTGCACAGACATAAATGTAGATTTCAGCAGATCGGTTTTTAAAAATAAACTATCTCCTTTTTTTTCCATTCCTTCTCTAGAGCCAACAACAACCTCCTAATATGATGAAGACAGCCCCCAACATGCTACAGTCGCTACCTCCTCCAAACACATTCGGTGTTCCGAACCAGGCCCCCCCTCCATCTCTCCTCCAGGCCCAGCTTTCTGCTGCCTCTCTGGCCCCTCTCCTCCAAAACCCCCCACAGCCTCTGTTGCCACAGCCTCCACCCAAAGGTGAAATCTTTATCAGTGGAATTGCATTGTCGTAGTTTCCAGTAATTTGGCACAGCATTGACAAGAAAATCAAAGACTTCTTTGTGGTATATATAAGTAGGCTGAACTAGCTGTTGCTTTGCATTATTTCCCTTGTTTTTAGATGTGTTTACTGGCGGTCTGCTTCAGCCTCCAGTTAGAATGATGCCTCAACCACAGCCAGTACGAAGAATCGAGCCTCCACCTCGTTTCCCTAGTCGCAATGACCGAGGCCCTGAGCTCATCCTGAGGACTAAAGAGGAACGCAGGTGAGGTGGTGATAAATGTCACCCAAGAAGTCAGATTTTGTCAACATAGTGTATATGTTAATATGCTTTTATTTGTGGGCCTCAATTATAACTGGTCCAGA